CCCCAAAACCCCAAAACCCCAAAACCCCAAAACCCCAGACCGCTTTCACCAAATTGTGCGAATATTATATAAAATTTGAGCAAAGACTTTAGAATTATGGGGAAATAACTCATCTTTATGGAGAATCTGATGCGTCTTTTGTGCTTAAGCCAGCTTCAGTTCAAATTTGAAGGAATAATAGAGCGAAGTTGGGTAGTATTGATATCTTAGAAGTTGTTTTTAAGGTTATGAGAGTATTAACTGGTTGTTCTAGACATAATTTTTGGGCCTGAAAGTTTAGGATTTGATAGGGTAGTTTGAGTGTTTGGAAGCCTTAGTTCTGATTTAGATATACGTATTTGTGGCTGATAGATTCTGTGAGCTATTTAAAATAATTTGGATTATCAAGATAATAAGAATGTTAGGAATATTTGTACAAGCACAGCAAGTTTGGAGTACCTAAATTGATTGCTACATTGCAAGCAAGATTCTATTTAATTAACCTTCTGACCAACTAATCTGAATTTTTAATTATTTGAATAAATAGGCATAAAATGGTCTTGATATTAACTTTAGACATTATTCTTCAATTAAAAATATTAATGGAAATCGAAATGCTTTAACTGCTCTTGTTATACTATTGCAGTCTCGATCATCGCTGATGAATATAATATCAAATGTAAAAATTAGGCTTCAACCGGCTAAATTTTGGCATTATCACTCAAAATGCCTTCTTAAGTAATAATCTAGAATTATTAAGAATTTTATAGTTCTTCCTGTTTGATAGAAAGAGAGGCTATACTGATAAGTCATATGCTGTTCATTACTTTTCATATTTCATCTTGTAAGAGTTCATCTAGAGGATCATCGTTTTAAGACTGAAGCAAAATGGACTATATTATATATTCCCAAAATATGTGATTTGAATAAAAGATGCAAACTTTCAAATCACTGCAATAAATAGCACCAAGACCTTTTAAATCAATCTTTCTATACATCTCTCACTCCTACATCTCTATTGAAGATATTCCAAAAGAAAGAGTTTGAAATAATCAGATAGAGGAAGAATTTCTGACCTCAGGCCGAATTCCCACATTCCTGTTATCGTTTTTAGCCAATAATTGGGCTACAAAACATCTTAAAATGGAAGAACCCCTGAGTGTAAAAAAAATTACTAGAAAATTCAAATACTCATCCTTTGTACAAGAAGCTTACCATCCATTTTCTTTAGTAGTAGAATTTAAGAGAAGGTAAAAACATTTCTTACTTACACTAAAAGCTGACGATACTAAAATTGTCTGATTAATTAAATTATGGCTGATCAAGTAAAACGACTCTTATCAAACAAGGACTTAGTGAGAATATAGAAGGATAAGAAATTGAGGGTTAAAATCTACACGGCCATCTATCTAATGGCAGGAAAGATGCTTAAAATGTAGAATATGAATCTGCACTATTGATATCCTCTTCTATTAAAGGTTAGTCCCACTTTGAAATCTACACCAAGATTCTTTAAGAGAAGTTGGGAACGTTTTTATGATCAAATAATATGAATTCTGCCAGTGAAGCGTCACTTCATTTCTGGTTTATGTGCTGCCAATTGAGAGATGAGATGCTATTTAATAGGGACTCATTTCAATAAGCAGTTCTCTTGCCCATGATTCTTCCGGAGACTCTGCTATATTTTGGATCAATGTTTGGAAGCTTTCAGAGCGAAGACATCTTTGATACTTTTTCTGGGAAAAAACTTGCACATGAAACTATTTCTAAGATCTCCTGGCGTAGCTGATTACTTCAAGGAAGCCCAGAGGGCTTCCTGATACCAGCTATTCCCATGGTAAAATATATCAAGTCATTTGTAAGATATTCTTCTGAAATGATAGTTTGCAAGGTTTGATACATCTTGTTGTAGAGATGCCCAATTCTACAATTGATGTACCTTCTACGGACGACTTCTAAGTTCTGGGTCTTAAAGATGTTCTTGCAGAATCTTTTTAGTTTTCTGAGCGCTGATTTATAGACCAGATCTTTTCTTCTGCTGGTATTTTCTGTCTCCGGAACGTGGAGCTGAATCATATTTTGGAGCATTCTCTGGGATCTTCTTTTTGGAAGTCAACTTGTTTTATTTAAAAATATTTTTTTAATCTGTTTTGATGCATGAAATAGTTCTGGAGTTTTCTTATTTTCTTCTCCCTGTCGAATATAATTGGCTGGCTTATGGATTAAGAAATGTGTTTTGTGCTTTAGCTTGGGATTTGAGCCTATTGTTTTGAACTCTTCAAGAAGATTGTCGGTAGAATTATCCAATAGTTCTATTTTTAGTATAATCATTTCAGGACTATTTATATCATTCAGGAGAGCTTTATGAAGACTTTTTTCCTTCAGTTCCTAGATTTTAATAAACCCAACAAAAACATCCCTAATTTCCCCAAAAGACCAATCTCCTACCCCTAATAACACTCTAAAAGCACATTCCAGCCCCCTCTCTACCCTACCTCCCTACCTCCCTGACCCCCCTTCCACCTCCCTCCCCAACCCCTTGCCTCACCCTTCCTCACCTTCCCATTCCTCTGACTGTCCTCCATCTTCTCCAAACCAATTAAATTCTAAATTCCCACTTAACCTAAATATGAGGGGTTTTGGGGTTTTGGGGTTTTGGGG